TGGAAGAAACCACAAAGGAAATGTTTGACAGACCGTACCACATAAAAATGAAAATTCCGGTGTGGGGCTGTGGTGCAGCTCAGTGACAGAGTGCTTGCCTAGCACATGTGAGGCCTGGGCTTTGATCCCCAACACCACAAAATAAAATAAAAGCAAAACAAAATAATTATAATATGATTAAAACTACAAGACAATAAACTGAGAAAATGTTTGCAGCAGATCCCATAAACACGATTCGAATCCTTAATTTAGAAAGAATCCACACAAATCAATGAAAAGATAAAAACGTCCATGGATGAAAGGGCAATGGAGAGGGCTGGGTGTGGTGGGACATGCCTGTAATCCCAGCTATGTGGGGGGTGTAGGTAGGAGGATCATGGTCCCTGCTCTGGGTAAAGATGCCTACTGTGATCAAACCTGTCATACTGATGAGCCAACAACACCACAAAAGTCCTACAGCCAGGGACTGAGTGAGGCAGCTGGGGTGCCTCATTGTGACTGAAAGCATTGCGCAAACAGCCTTATCAAAATAGAGTTCCAGACGACAGGAAAAGTGCTTATGATAGAGTGCATTAAAATTATAGTCACTCCAAAAAATGTAACCAAAAAGCCGGGCATCAGTGGGTCACGCCTGTAATCCTAGCTACTTGGGAGGCTGAGATCAGGAGGATCACAGTTCAAAGCCAGTCTGGGCAACTAGTTCAAGAGACCCCATCTCCAAAATAACTAGAGCAAAACGGACTGGGGTTGTAGCTCATGCAAGCATGAAGTCCTGAGCTCAAACCCCAGTCTCACCAAAAGGAAAAAAAAATGCAGCCAACAGGCTGGAAACCACCCCAATAGGCTCCCTCCAGGGGACAAAATTGGGGCAAGTCTCCCTATCTGCCCTTGGATTCTGGTCTACTGTACTTTCCAAAACTTCTGCAGTGTGGAGAATTACTTTGATAATTACTTAAACAGTTAAAAACCTTAAAAAAAAAAAAAAAGCTACTCTCCTTGCCACCCTGTTGAGGTCTTAAATGAAAAGCTCCCTTTGTGAATGTGCCCCTCAGGCTGCATAAATATTCTGAGAATATTACAAGTCATTTCTCCCCAGCCGCTTTTATTGCCCGGTTTCTGGCATTTATGTCTTCTCTCCCTGCGATCTCCACGCTCCTGAGAGGCAGAAACCACGGTCTGTTCACGCTCAGCTCGCCAGGACGCACTCTGTGACAGTGGTGGCCTTAAATACCGAGGACCCCTGCAGTTAACCATGTGTTTAACATGAGATGAAAGTACTTTGAATCAAGACGCTTGGTGTCAACGATTGTTTGCGTGGCGGGGGTGGAGCTCAGTGACAGGGCACTTGTGTGGCTGTGTGTGTGTATGTGAGAGACAGGGAGGGAATGCAGGAAGGAAGGAAGGAGGAAGGAAGGAAGGAAGGAAGGAAGGAAGGAAGGAAGGAAGGTAGGAAGGAAGGAAGGAAGGAAGGAAGGAGCTCCCTGAAAGCCAACAGAGGATGCATAACTGTGGTCCTGGAGGTAACTCCCCCCTCCCCCCCCCCCCCCCCCCTCCCCCCCCCCCCCCCCCCCCCCCCCCCCCCCCCCCCCCCCCCCCCCCCCCCCCCCCCCCCCCCCCTCCTCCCCCCCCCCCCCCCCCCCCCCCCCCCCCCCCCCCCCCCCCCCCCCCCCCCCCCCCCCCCCCCCCCCCCCCCCCCCCCCCCCCCCCCCCCCGCCCCCCCCCCCCCCCCCCCCCCCCCCCCCCCCCCCCCCCCCCCCCCCCCCCCCCCCCCCCCCCCCCCCCCCCCCCCCCCCCCCACTCCCCCCCCCCCCCCCCGTTGCTTGCACCCCCTTGCGTGCTGTGCCAAGCTGTCTCATCGAGGACACTGTCCTAGGATTCCCCATTCTGTAACATGCTACTTCTGGACACTTGAGCAAGTCACCTGCCCTTAGTTCTTTTTTTTTGGTGGAATGGGATTTGAACTCAGGGCTTCACACTTGCAAAGCAGACACTCTATAGCTTGAGCCACATCTCCAGTCCATTTTGCTCTGGTTATGCTGGAGATGGGGTCTCTCAAATAAAGAGCTGGTGTAGAATATCAAATTGAAAGGTAACTCTAGACCATTGCAGGATTTTTCCTTTAAAAAACAAAACTACTGGTAATCAAATTCATATCTACTTCATTTACATTTGTTTATATTTTATTTGCATTTATTATTTCCTGATCAAAAAATGCAGAGTAGGCAACCCCAAGATTCTTGGGGTCTGTACAGATTTGGAGCAATTCTTTTTTTTTCTCGGTAGGACTAGGGTTTGAACACAGGGCTTTGAGCTCACAAAACAGGTGCTCTACCCCTTGAGCCATGCCTCCAGCCCCAGGAACAATTCTTTACAGTAAACCTTTTTATTCTTTTTGGAGACAGGGTCTCCCTGTGCAGCCCAGGCTGGTCTCAAACTCACAATCTTGTTGCCTCAACCTCCCTAGTGCTGGGATTACAGGTGTGCTCCACCATCTCCAGCTCTATAGTAAATAAATGAGATGAAATGTTTTTAAAAGAAGAAAGTGAATAAAGAGGGCCTGGGTTTTCCTTCCACCCCTTCCTTGGTTAGGGAACCTCTGCTCATCCAGGGCTGATGAATTTTGCTGACTTGCCATGACTTTTGCAGGCAGCAGGAAATTGAAAAAGTCTTCTGCCCCCCACTTCCCATTTCCCACAGTCCCATTTCATCAAACAGGACCCATCTCTTCTACACTGGAAAATATGGCCCAGTGCTACCAGTGCCTGAAATTGGAAAGGCTTAGTCCTCCTTCATCCCCCATCAGGCTCCTGAATTTCCAAATAGAGAAGTCCACTTGGGCAGCTCCGTTTCTGGGCCAAGAAACCAGCCTTCCTGGGCCCTTCCTGCCACAGGGGGGCGACAGCAGGAGCCCAGTGCTGGGATCAAACTCTGCTGCTGGTGACCTCCACCAGCTCCTGCTAGTTGTGTGGCCCTGACAAGTTATTTAACCTTTTAACCTCTCCACATCAGTGTGTACATATACATGCGCGTGTGTGTGTGTGTGTGTATGGAGAGAGACAGAGAATGATTCTCCTTCCTTCAGTAGATTGTTCATATTAAAAGACTTGAAATATATTTAGAAAACAAAACCAAAACCAAAACCTAAGCATTGTAGCTGGCACTTAGTGTTTAAAGAAGGTACCTTTTTTTTTTTTTTTTTTTGCGGTACTGGGGTTTGAACTCAGGGCCTACACCTTAAGCCACTCCACCAGCCCTTTTTTGTGATGGGTTTTTTTGAGATAGGGTCTCGCCAACTATTTTCCGGGCACTGGCTTCGAACCCCGATCCTCCTGATCTCTGCCTCCTGAGTCACTAGGATTACAGGCGTGAGCTACCAGGGAAAATGCTTCATTCTTGTTATGTGATCAAAAAGCCAGAGAAAGAGAGAATGCTTGAGAAAACCGAAGGTTACCCATTTCTTCTTTTATGACATGGGACCAGACAGGTGCGGTGGCTTTCCTCTTTCTAACCAAGGAATGTCCCAAGGCCTGTCGTCCAGGGATGCTACTCCTCCTGGCTGGAAGTCAGTCTATTCTGAGTCTGCAGACAGGGGGTGTGTGGAATGGGGAGGACGGACAGCCGGACACAACAAGACTGAGGTCATTCTTGGCTTAGATACCATCCCCTGCTCTTGGCACAGTCACCCTCGTCACCTCTTCCTGAGGCCCGGCCTCCCTGTCCCCTTCCAGGTGGCACCTGCCGGCTCTCTGAAGTGACCTGTGTTCGATGGTTCCCTTTCAGCAGCGACGCGCACCCCTGGCCCGCCCTTGAGCCACCGTGGGGCTCGGGGTTCGTGGTTCGGGGTTCGGGGCCCGGCTCTAACCGCAGCAGAACTCCCGGCCGGGTCTCGACCCAGCTCGGCCCTCCGGCAGCTCCGCCCCGAGGCGCGCACACGAGGGTCCGGCCGCGGAGCCCAAGCCCCGGGCGACTCGACCTTGAAGCAGCCCCACCCCGGAGGTGTCGCTGTGGCTCCGAGAGCGTCCGTTCCACACAGGAAGGAGGGAAGGGGCCCTGACAGATCTGATAAAGAGGAAGGAAGCCGGCGACACCGCTGATCGCAGCTGACAGCTCCCAAACTGCCGAGGTCCCGCAGCTGGCCCGGCCCCGAGTACCGCGTGGCGCTCTAAGACTGGGGCGTCGCGCCCCCTGCTGCCCGTGATTGGAACTGCACCCACCTGGCGACAGGAACGCAAACCAGGGCTTAGTTAGGGACAAGAGCTGGTCCTGCCTCTGGCCCCAGATGGTGGTCAAGCAGTCTTGGGTGTGCAGAGCTTTTAGGACCCTGGACCTTTATTTCTGCTTGTTGCGGGATTCCTGCCCCAGAGGACAACCCAGCGGGTCCCCTGACCTGCCAGTCTAATTAGCTTGCTTTGTTAGCGGAGTGGGGACCAAGAAGACCTTATGAGAAAAGCAAGCACACTTCTGATGATTTCAGAGCGCGACCTGGGTGTTGCCAGCTCCCCTAATGTGACCATCATTTACTAGAGTGCACTCTTAGCCCCGTGGCCTCGGTTTCCTCATACGTAAAATAGGAAGTTTTTCTCATAGGATTGTTAAAGAGACTATTAACACTACACAACAAGCACGTTTTTAAAACATTTAAATTAAGTTAAAAATTCCAGCATGGGCTGCAGACTTGTGTGGCACAGCTCTAAAGGGCTCCTATTTTGGGGGTTTCCCCACTTTCAATTACTGATTTCTACTTCAATTCCACTATGACCAGAGAATATACTTTGTATGATTTCATTCCTTTTATAAAATTTGCTAAGACCTGCACTACTGGCTTTGTTAAAAGCCCCAGGTACCCTGAACTTGCATTCTGTAGCTGTTGCCAGTAATCCAAATGCACCAGTTAGGTCAAAGTGATTGTGTGGTTTGTTCTCTCTCTCTCTCTCTGTGTGTGTGTGTGTGTGTTTGGTTTTGTTTTCTTGTGCTGCCTTATTCTCCCCTCATTGTTCAGAGGTGGAATGGCTCAAGTGGTAGAGCACCTGCCTAGCAAGCATGAGGTCCTGAGTTCAAACCCCAGTACCACCAAAAAAAAAAAAAAAAAAAAAAAGCATAGCTGTACAGAATATTTTCACTGAGTATGGGACTTTAGGTTGGCCCACCTTTTTTTCCAGTACTTAATTCATTCCTCTGTCTTCTGGCTTCCAAAGGCCCCACTGGTTTTATGACTCCTTCAAGGTTCTGTGTCATTTCTGTTTATAGGATTTTCTGTCTTTTTGAGGTGTGTTTTGTTTTACTCATTGCTGAGTTTCATGGGTTTGTGGGGTGGTCTTTCTCCAGTTTTGGAAACTCCTCAATCAGCATGGCTTCTGTCCTTTCCTGTCCTGGGCTCAGTGCTCGTGTCCACACTGAGGCCACTGGGGCTCTTATGCTCTCTCTTGCTCAGTTTTGGGTTCAGTTTTGCATTCTTTTTGGCAGTACTGGAGTTTGAACTCAGGGTCTCACGCTTGCAAGGCAGGCGCTCTGCCACTTGAGCCACTCACCAGCACGTAACTATGTATTTTAGATGATGTCTGAATTGATTTTATTTTTTGTTCTTTCAGACAGGGTCTCCCTATGTAGCCCAGGCCAGCCTTGAAATCACTATGTAGCCCAGACCAGCCCCAAACTCTCCCTCCTCCTGCCTCAGCCTCCTGAGGACTAGGATTACAGGCGTGCACCACCACACCTGACTTGAATTTCAATTCAAACACAGGAAGAAAATCCACATCACCACCTGCCACTTGGCCTGTTAACACACTATTTAAAATTTACATTTTTATTGAGATATCACTTATAAATCATGAAGCTCAATCTTCTAAAGTGCACAAGTCAGTGGATTTTGGTAAATTCACAAAGCTGCAAAACCATCATTTCCTAGTTCCAGAACATTTTATCATCTGACACACACAAAACCTGTACCCACTGGCAGTCACTCCCTTCTCTCCCTCTAGCCTTCAGCCACCATGAGCCCACCGTCTCTAAAGACTTACCTATTCTGGACACTTAACAGAATCATACCATCTGTGGCTTTTTGTGTCTGGCATGTTTCATTGAACATTTTTTCAGGATCGTCCAAGTGTGTGGAATGGATCAGCACTTCATACCTTTTTCATGGCTCAGTAGTATTCATTAGATGGATATACCACTTTTGCTTATCCATTCACCAGGTGGACATTTGGATTGTTTTCACTGTGAACATCCTTGTGCAAGATGTGGGAGCATGTTTAATTCTGCTGTACATAAACCTAGAAGTAGATTACTGGTCATAAGGGAACTCTGGATTTTTTGAGGAACTGCCAAACTGTTTTTCTGACTGACTGCATTCAGGAACAGTGCAGGAGCCATCTTGCCAATCACGTTCCCTTTTTTACTCCATCCCCAGATTATGGCCACTAATTCTTCCATCAGAATTTTGAAATCTATTTACCTAGTCTTCAAAAACCCTGTGAGATTTTGTTGGAAAATTGCTATAGTTTGGATTTGAGATGTCCCCAAAAGCCATGTGTTACAGGCTTGGTCCCCAGCCTGTAGTGCTATTGAGGGATGGAACTGTTAGGGGGTGGAGCCTAGTGGAAGTGTTACACACTTGGTCCAAGTCCAGGGTCTTTGTCTTACAATTTAAAAGAATGAAAATCCCAAGAGTGAGCAAAGCAGGAAAGTTTATTGAGAGAATGAGCAGAGCTTCTACAGCTGGGAGGGTCCCAAGAAAGGGTTACCACCAGCTGCTCTTTGTCTAGCAGCTTATATTGTTGCAAGGAATAAATTTCAGACAAAGACCATTACCCGGATTGGCAGACAACCATTCAGATTACCTTCATGGGCCAACCAGGCATCTGCATGCTTTATGTGTGTCTTGCTCTGTAACAACTCTATGGTCACTTGTGGGACAACAGCTAGGATTTGTCGAAGGAGTCCAGCCCCGTTCCTTAGATGAGGAAGCGAGCCATGTGTCTCGTAGTCTCCGTGCCTCTTACTTTCCCACAGACACCTTGGGAGTCTCCATGTCTGTGGTTTTCTCAGAGACCTTGGAACTCAAACTTATTTATGACAGGGACTGTGCTCTGCCTGTTTCCTCTACCTCCTAAACCTGTTTCAGAAGGAAGTTAGGTCTTGAAGGAATACCCTTGAAGAGGGTATTGAGGCCCCTGCCCATTCTTTTCTGCTTCCCAGCAGTCATCAGGTGAACAGACGTCCTCTCCCACACACACTCCCGCCATGATGTACAGTGCTGCAAAGCAACAGGGCCAAGCAATCAAGAGCCTGAAGTCTCTGGAAATGTGAGCCAGAGCATACCTTCCCCTCCTTCTAATCTGCTAATAGGAAAATGCATTTATATACTGAGGTCACTGACATTCCTCCAACCATGAACACTGTACACCCATCACTGGGCAGATTTCCAGTCTACCTCTCAATATACTGCAGTTTTCTCCACTAAGAAAGTGTATGTTCTTTGTCAGATTTGATACTAAGTAGCTTACAGTTTAGGAACTTTTTCATCTTTTGGAACACTTTGTTTTTCAGAATAGTTTAGTTACTCACAAATTTCTAAAAGCTCAAAAATTGTCAAAAATTGACAATTTCTACCTATTTTTGCTCTGTTGCCCCAGTTTCCTTCAGAAGAAAGCAATGTTATCAATTTAACTTTTAATTTGGGAAATTAGTATATAGTAATTATATTGACTTTTGTTTCTCAATAGTGTGTGTGAAACTCCAAATTCTTAGTATCTCTATGAACTTGGTTATTTTGTACTTTACACACACATACAACCTGCAAAGAGTAGTCATGTTGTCACTTCTTTTCATTCCTTACTCCTGTTACTCTCTTGCTACATTGGCTAGGGTGTCTCTTAACAAAGTAGCTGGAAAGCAGCTGTGACACAGTACAACTCTTATTCCTGACTTCAGTGAGAATGGTTTTTATATGCCATCTAACCATATTATTTCCTGTATCAATTGAGTTGATCACACGGATCTCATTTTTCTTTACTACTTAGATGTGCTGAATCACACACTCACAAAAAAAAAAAGGATTCTTGGGCTGTAGGTGTGACTCAAGTGGTAGAGCACCTGCCTAGTAAGCATGAGGTCCTCAGTTCAAACCCCCCAATATTGAAAGAAAAAAAAGTCTCAAAATACTTACTCCAAGTTTTTATTTTCATGAAGAAGAAAAAAGAATCCTTTATGATAGTGAAAATATATTTATTTTTTAATACAATAGCTGCCAGCAATATACTGGTGTGGATGTTCCAGAGAGAGGAAAGAAGTCCAAAGCATTCTATGATAAGATTTGCCTGTTCAAGAAATTCTAAAGGAAATACCCCATTGTTGGTCAACATTATGGCTTGGGGAGTGGAGGGTTTTCATGATAAAAATATAATTTTGGTTGTCTCAACCTATTAATAATCTGTAAATGATGGAATCTGAAAAGCCATAAATAGCAATAATGAAGCTTCCCTTTCTTAGAATTAAATATTGATTATAACCAGTGTAAGAAATTGGTGAGTCAATTAGCTTGATGAAATGTGTATCAAAATGTTCATGAAAAAATAATTTCTAGTTCCTCTCATCTTTACTTTGTAGAGATTCTCTAAATGGGCTTCTTAAATGCACAGAAACAAAAGGAACGTTCACAACTCTGGAGAGATTCTGAACTCGGCAGCGGCACAAATGTGTAAGTTCTACAGCTGATTCAGCCACGCAGTGCAGAAATAAATGTTGGACAGGTCTTCACTGTGCACAGACTGCTCAAGGGTTTGAAGTTATGAAAGCCAATGTTAATAAGAAATAAATCTTATTTGCACTTTACTGAAAATTTGTATCTGCATCAAATAAAGGAAGTTATATCAGCTGGAACAGTAAAGAGCTCTCCAGCTGTTTAACAAAAAAATTTCTCAGTATCCCTGGAAAGATAGTGAGACTTTCTATCCAGACTCCAATCTCCTCATTGAAATGGAACAAAAGGAGGTTAAGCGATTCATTAGCTACAGAAAACAGATGACTTCCATGTCATCCCACACACCACAAGAATCCATGGCAATTTTTATATCCCAAATTGCTCAAGATTTTAAGCCATGGTTTTTCCACAAACATGCAATGGGGTAGAAGCTTGCTCTGGCATCCTCCTCTTAACTAGCTTTTGTTCATTTGCCAATCAATTTCATTTGACTAACTTCCTTGTCAGAAATAAAACCTGTGTTTCTACAGAGCAAAGTAATTCTGCCTTCCTCGGACATGCAGAGACAGCCAGCTGGATAAATAGAAGGCCATGGGGAGAATAAACACGCGAAGTGGAAACCCTCCACAAGGACTTTCAGAAGTCCTTCACCACTGTTCAAGAAGCATGCTCTTCCCTCCAGAAGCCCTCCACTCTGCATCACTTAGTCCACCACTCACAACATAACACACCCCTTCTTGGGGTCTTCTTCACACCTTAAGCTAGGAGGCAAGGCTCAGTATCGCCCAAGGCCAAATTGCCGTTATTTAAAGAGTAGGTGAAGATGAAATGCCAGCCTGTGCACTGGGGCAAACGGGCCACTTCCACCCACTGAAGCCACTGCAATGAGAGCTCTCCATGGAGAATGAGATGGTACTTTCTTCTGGAACCAGATCAGTATCATCCAATATTTAATTATCAAATGATGGGCCCTCAAACTTTCGATCAGCAATAAAGAGAGTATTAAGGAAGGTAAGACAAAGGAATCTCCCTGAGCCACATGGACACAGATGGAGTTTTTCTTATCTCTCTATACTAAGCTAATCACTGACAGCTTAAAAAAGGCAGTGTGCTTCTACAAATCAGAAGGCTTCCATAAAGCCAGAGCTTAAATGGTGGCCTATCAAAGGAGGAAACATTGCCATCTAAAAGCAAATTACTTACAAAAAACAAAACAAAACAAAAAAACCAAAGCTTATTAGAAATGCACTTCTTAAACAAGTTAGGTATAAAAGTTACTAAAAACTATAGTCACGACCAGAGTCTTTGGAGCAGTACTAACACAGCAAACTTCTACCTTCACCAAGTTCATTCTCCTTTGTTAGAGCACAAATAATCTCTGGTTTAGGCTTTCAATTTTAAAATAAAGAAAAATTTAACTCAAGAAAGCGTGGTGATTGAAATTAGGCAAAACTGTGTAGTAAATACATACTCACTGTGACAACTACAATTTAGCCCAAAAGGAGTGACTGATCCTCTGGGCAAAGCCTAACAGTGAATGGAGGCGGAAGGACAGTGCTGGTCATCTCTGCTGTCATTTCTAACATGGGATGGATAATGCATTCTCCAGATTGTCCACATGAAATGTGCTTTAGAAACAAAAGTTACTTGTTATTTTGATAAACCCACCCTACATTCCTTAGGTTGACTTCTGTGTTAATTTTACATTACTTGTCATTGTATTGCTACAGCTAAATCAACTTAAGTATCAGTTTATGTAGTGTTGCTCAAAATATCTACAAACAGCAAGGTCTATGGCTACCTAGAAAGGCATTTTTTTAATGAAGGCAATGACAGTCCTAATGAATGGCACTGGACAAATACACAGAACAAACACCACATAAACAGGCCGCCAGATGCCCATCAATTTCTCTCGAAATGAACATCCGTCTCTCTGCATTAGCTTCCAATAGTGTCAGGCATTACAATTTGTGTAAGAATAAATGATTTTAGGGAAAATTAAAAATCTATCTACAAAGAAAATAGCAGAATCTGTAGTGACTTTCTGTAGCAGGCTCTCTTCCCTGGTGGTAATATCCTTAAGCACAAATCCAGGATAGACTAAATTGAAACACAGTATTTTTGATACAGTAGCAATCCTTTCATATACTCTTACTAAATATTACAAATTCCAAAAAACATAAATATTCCTTGTACCATACACTACTCGCCAGTTTGGGGTTGACTGTTGTCAAGGCTACTATTTTTAACACTTAAAAACTGCACCTTGAAAGTTCTGCCACCTGTACACAGTGAATGGACACAATGGTGAGGACTCCAGAGAGGCGGCCAATGGCCTCTCCCGAGAAGAGTTTGTCAAGGAGTGTCTCCAAATGAGCGGAGGGAGGACAAGGAGGGAGAGGAAGGCGGGTGGAAGGATTTTAGGATAATACTGCTTAGGAGTGTATATTTCTAGATAACTACTATACCTTGTCTACCCTGATCCTAATCTTGAATCACTGCTCATTCATGCAAAATACATTTCTACTTTATATAGAAGAGGAGCTGTCTGTTAGGAAAGCATATTCCCAGGGGAGATCTGAAGATGTCTCTCTGGCAAGTGCTATTTACTTGGTGAGCCTTTTGGCGACATCACTGTATGCAATTTCGACCTCCTTATCGCTGGGACAGGTGTTGGTGAACTCGTCCCTGCGGCAGGCGTTGGTCAGGTATCTCCAGATACCAGTCATTTCTTTTGGAATATCAAAGTTGCGGTATTTTTTGGCCACCACCTAAAATTCAGAGAGATCAAAAGATGACATTTCTTTTCCATGTCTCATAAACTAGACAAGAGTATGATTTTAAATCCAATTAATTCTGTGAATCTCTGAGAGCTGCTTCTATTTCAAAGAAGTTTGTCACCACTATTCTAACTAGACTTTAAAATAACATCTAAGACCACAAGCTATACCAGGGACAGAGAACGTGACACATGCTTGCAGTGAACACAGGGAGCCAGCCAGCCAATGTAACCATGGAGGAACATTTCTAGAGCACACACAATTTCAGGCTTGTGTTGTTCCTAACTTACCTCTTCCTTGCACAACCGGTGCTCAATGGATTATGTTTAGCACAGTGACTCATGTAATAAATGCTCAGTATTGAACAGAAAAGACCATGTAATCACAGAACAGAATTTGACAATACAAGTCAGTGTAGCAAACTCCAGCTCAGAGCATCTATTACATCTTTGAATCCTTATTCAGTCACAGAAAAAAAAGTAAATAATCTCTTCTTATCATATGCCTCAATTTTAAGCATTTTTCATTGAATTAGCTGTGGGGTGTTTCAGCTATGCCTCGGCAGAATTCCGTTACAGCCTTTGGGGATTCCCAAGCACATGAAGACCAGAAAAGTTTTACCACAAAGGAAGTGCTACCCGAGGAAACATGGCATCAGGTCCAAGGCAGCGTGGCCCCGTCCTGGTAGGCCTACCTTGACGATGTGCAGTTTGGGCAGCAGGTTACAATCAGCTAATGTCATTTCGTTGCCATCCAGAAATTTCCGTGTAGAAAACTTGATGTCCTCCATACTGTTCTCGTCAATTTCATCAGGGAGGGGAGAATTCAGGTATTCGTCCAGTTTCTGGAGTGTTTTCAAGAGACCCCTCTCCAGTGCTTTAAAAAAAAAAAAAAGGTGGGGGGGATGCTATAAGAAAGGAAAGCAGCCCGCCCGAGAGCTTCGGACAACAGTGTCTGCAAAGCCCTCTTCATCACCAAGTGCCCAACCATGAACACAGTAGGGAAAGGCAACTCTATTCACTCAAATCTACGAGAGAACTCTTGCCAGGACAGAGCACAGTTCTCACTTTTAAGTCCCACTCCACCAGGAGCATTTGCATTGATACACAGAAATGTGTTAAGAAGTGCCAACACCTTACTAACAACCCGAGCAGAAAGCCTGTTACGACAAGTGAGAGACCAAGCACAAGCATAAGCATCATCTTCTATGAAAAGCGCAAAAGTCAGGTGGCATTCCAGTCACAAGAGAAGCACTGGAAGCCTCTTTCAGAGCCAAACAGATTGAGATGCTCTGAGGTCTGCGACTCAGGGGAAAGTGGGAGGGAGGCACCACGACGCATGCACGTCAAGGTTTGGGACCCCTAGCAGAGAGGTGTAGGAATACTACCAGAAAGGAATGTGGACGAACAACAGATGCCACACCTTCTTATTCTTTACCTTCCAATCCACCTCCTCACCACTCTCAGATGAACTCACAATGATAATCACAGACCTTGACCAAAAATGCAGTTAACTATCATGACCTCATCCATGGCAACTATGTAGTCATAAGGCTGAATAAAGTTGGGCCTTTGGAAGCAGAAGGCAAAGCCTTGCATGCCGCACCTTAGCTATTTCACCAGCAACATAAATGCATCCTAACCTAATTCTCTCCTTCCACACTGCCCCCACACGCTCAGCCATTGGCCCCTTCCTGGTAGTCCAGTAGGCAATAGATGGAAGTCTTAAAGGCACAAAAGGAATGAATGAATCCTACAGCTACTTAAGGGATAAGAGCCAATAGAGTTCAGGACCCAAATAAATAGGAAAAAGGGGGACAACTGTATTGAACAAAACATAAATTGAGCCTATACTACTCATTCTAAAAATGGTTCAATTTGCTGCTGAATAAAATATAAAAGGCTCTTAGATAATTTAAATCTTGGGCAGTGAGGTAGCACAGAGAAGCTGGTCCACAACTAACAAGCTTGAAGGTGAACAGTGGTGCCATTTCCTAGTACATCTACCTTCTTGAAGGACAAGCAGAGTTGGGGATATGGAAAGGTGAGTTCAGTTAAAATGCTAAGCTGGAAGTACCTACAAAGACATCGGAGGAAGAGATCTAACAGACAGGTGGGTTCCACACTGGGCCAGAGCAATATATTACAAGTCCTGAGAACACAGTGACCCCTGAACTGTGTGGAGTGAAGGAGAGGCACAAGACCAAGGCAACTTCTAAGATCATTATGTAAAGGACAGGAAGGAGAAGGGCATGCAGAGGTCACAGTTTCAGGATTCCGAATGGGAAATACCTTCAAATCCCAGTCACTCTTTCACACAGGACAGATTCCTACAACATGCTACCTTGGGCTATTCTTCTAACATGCAAATTACAATTGAGTTTGGTATGGCTTCATATCCACTAACTTTGCTAATTCCTATTTTTTAAGAATCTGTAGATTCTTCTGGACTTTCTCTGCACACAATTCTATTGTTTAAGACTAATGACAAACTTCCTTCTTCCTTTGCAATTCTCAAGTCTCCCATTTCTTGCTCTTCACTTATTGTACTGGTTAAGATAACCAGGAAAACCTGGTAGAGGTGGTAACAGAAAGCACCCTTTTCTAGTCCCCAATCCCAAGGGGAAATCATCCACTATTTCCCCATCAGGTATAATAACATTTGCTATGATTTTTTTATAGCCATTCTTTATCAGACTAAGGAAGTTCCTTGCTATGAAATATCATTTGGGTCGGGTGCTGGTGGCTCACACCTGTAATCCTAACTACTCAGGAGGATCACAGTTTGAAACCAGTCCAAGGCAAATAGTTCAAGAGGCCCTATCTCAAAAAACTCATCACAAAAAAGATCTGGCCTCGGAGTGGCTCAAGTGGTACAGCGCCTACCTAGCAAGTGTGAGGCTCTGAGTTCAAACTCTAGCACCATCAAAAAAATAAAAAAGAAGAAGAAGAAGAAGAAAAATATCATTTGGACCCTGAGTATTAAATTTTATTAAATGCTTTTTCCTGCTTCTACTGAAGTGATGATCATATAACTGTGCTTCTTTGTTAATGTGATACAGATTCTTGAATGGTTGAGCAATCTTCCTTTCATGGGGGCAACCCAACTTGGCTGGGCATACAATGTTCAATTTTTTTTTCATATTGCTGAACTTAACATACTTCACTTTAGAGTTTTGTGTCTATGTTCAAAACAGAAATTGGGTGGTGCCAATGGCTCAAGCCTATAATCCTAGCTACTAAGGAAGATCACAGTTTGAAGACAGCCTAGGCAAACAGTTCATTAGACCCTATCTCAAAAATACCCATGACAAAAAAGGGCTAGTGGAGTGGCTCAAGGTGTAGGCTCTGAGTTCAAACCCCAGTACTGAAGATTAAAAAAAAGGAAAAGGAAAAAGAGAGAGAAATTGGTCTGAACTTGTCCTTTCTTCTGATGTTCTTGTGTGGTTTTTATTAAGATTGGCCTCAAAAAGCAAGTTGGAAAGTATTCCCTCAATGCTGCTTTGTGAACGAGGATATGCAAGGCTGATGTGACTTCTCCCACTGATGGAAGAGTTCATCAGTGCAGCCATATGGACCTGGAGGGATCTATCTATCTATCTACTTATTTATTTTGTTAGGGTTTGAACTCAGCCAGGCACTCCACCAGCCCTTTGAAGGATTTTTTTTATTGTAAGAAAAACTTGGGCTGGCAAGTGGCTCAAGTGGTAAGAGTGCCTGCCTAACAAGTGTGAGGCCCTGTGTTCTAACCCCAGTGCTGCCAAAAAAAAAAAAAAAAAAAAAAGAAAACCTCACAATGTATCTAATTACAGATAAAAGACTATACACCTTTGCAATTTCTTCTTGTAATGACTGTTACACTGCTCTTTCTGTAAATTTCTCCAAGTGCTTTCAAATTTCTAAGCATAAAATTTTCCAAAATTTTATATACTCCAAAAAATGGTTTAAATGTAGATATCCCCTTTTTTATTCCTAATATGGTTATTGCTGCCTTTCTTCCTTCTCTTATCAAAGATTTATCCATTTTTACAGTTAGCTTTGCTGCTCTTATGTATAGTTGTTATCTATTTCATGACATTCTGTTGCTTCCGAACTTTTTCTTTTCTTTTCTTCTAACTAACCCATGGGGGATGGGTCCTTTAGGACCAGAACTTAGCTGTTTTCTAATATGTGCACAAAGACCCTGCAAGCACAGCTCAGGCCTTCTACAGCAAATGCAGCCAGGCTGCACTGCTGTCATTTCCTTCATCATCCTTCTGAGTATTTAGAAATGCACAACTTAACTTCCAGACATAGAGAACCTTCCTAGCTATACATTTTTTGGTGGTGGTGGTGGTGGTGGTACTGGGGTTAGAACTCCGGGCTTCACGCTTGCTAGGCAGTTGCTCTACCATTTGAGCCACTCCACCAGCCCTCTGGCAATACTTTTGTTACTGATAACTATCTTATTATCTTTGGTCAGGGAGAATGTTCTGTATGACCTCAAGTTTTCTGAAAAAAAATTTGGAGTACTTCATATGCATATGAAAATAGAATAATGAAATCCATTAAAATTATTTTTAGCTGGACACAGGTGGCTCACGCCTGTAATCCTAGCTACTCAGGAGGATCTCGATTCAAAGCCAGCCTGGGCAAATAATTTGTGAGACTTTATCTCAAAAAAAAGAAAAAAATACAAAAAAGGACTGGTAGAGTGGCTCAAGGTGAAGGCCCTGAGTTCAAGCCCCAGTACTGCCAAAAAAAACCCAATTTTTAAAGCAGGAGGGAAGGAGGGAGAGATAAGAAAGAGTGATAGAGGGGGTGAATTTGATCAAAGTATACAACATGCATGGAAACATCACAAGAAACCCCCTTGTACAATTAATGTACACTAACAAAAAGAAAAAGAAAATTTAGAAAATGTGCACCATGAACAAAGAGTTCTGAAAGGGTCAAGAAGAGCCAGGCCACTTTTCTTCAAAGATTAAAGAAAGAAATTGTTTTGATAAGAAAAAAAGGGATTGCTTTATGACACGGCTTTCCTGTCAGTTTTAGTAAGTATACCACGAACATTTGAAAAACAAAAGAACATTCTGAAGTCAACACACATGCACACATGGTTGAATGCATTTGCTGTGTTATTTCTTTTTGGCCAGTTCTAACAGTCATGAGGGAGGGGTCAAACACCCCACTGTGGTTGTGGTGCTTTACTTCTCTTTTAGTTTTCTCCATTTGCTTTATATTATATTTTAAGGTTAGTTATTTGGTAATACAAATTAACAATTATTCTACCATCCTGATAAATTTAAATCTGTTTGAAACATGCTTTATCTTTTCTTTTTTTCCCTTTCAGTTTTTTGAGTCAGGGTCTTACTTTGTTGCCCAAACTGATTTGGAACTCACTGTGTAGCCCAGGCTGGCCTCCAACTCTTGATCCTCCTACCTCAGCCTACTGGGTGCTGGGATTACATGTGTGCACTGCTATACACGGCTGTTTCATTATCTTATATGTTTCCTTTCTCAGTCTACTTCACCCAGTGTCAGTGCAATTTTGTCAATTTGTTTTTGGTTAGTAGAATTTCTACTATTCTATTGTCAACTTTCCTGTGCGAATGTATTTCATGAACAAGCATACTCATTCTTGTACAAAAGCAACACATTTCTAATAGAGTTGGCAGTTTTGTCTTCTACTTAGAATATTTAAACCAGGTATATGTAATGCAAAAACTCTGGTTTAAATCTGCTCTCACATTTCCTGTTTTATATCAGTCAATCTGTTCTATGTTCTTTTCTTCTTTTTGTCTCCTCTTTCATGAACAAGCATACTCATTCTTGTACAAAAGCAACACATTTCTAATAGAGTTGGCAGTTTTGTCTTCTACTTAGAATATTTAAACC